CCTAACCCCTGATCGGATCACTAACCCCTGATCGGATCCCTAACCCCTGATCGGATCACTAACCCCTGATCGGATCCCTAACCCCTGATCGGATCCCTAACCCCTGATCAGATCCCTAACCCCTGATTGGATCGTTAACCCCTGATCGGATCGCTAACCCCTGATTGGATCCCTAACCCCTAATGGGATCGCTAACCCCTGATTAGATCGCTAACCCCTGATTGGATCCCTAACCCCTGATTGGATCACTAACCCCTGATCGGATCCCTAACCCCTGATCGGATCACTAACCCCTGATCGGATCCCTAACCCCTGATCGGATCCCTAACCCCTGATTGGATCGTTAACCCCTGATCGGATCGCTAACCCCTGATTGGATCGTTAACCCCTGATCGGATCGCTAACCCCTGATTGGATCGTTAACCCCTGATCGGATCACTAACCCCTGATCGGATCCCTAATCCCTGATCGGATCCCTAACCCCTGATCGGATCGCTTACCCCTGATCGGATCGCTAACCCCTGATCGGATCGCTAACCCCTGATTGGATCGCTAACCCCTGATTGGATCGCTAACCCCTGATTAGATCGCTAACCCCTTATTGGATCGCTAACCCCTGATTAGATCGCTAACCCCTGATTGGATCGCTAACCCCTGATTAGATCGCTAACCCCTGATTGGATCGCTAACCCCTGATCGGATCGCTAACCCCTGATTGGATCGTTAACCCCTGATCGGATCACTAACCCCTGATCGGATCCCTAACCCCTGATCGGATCGCTTACCCCTGATCGGATCGCTAACGCCTGATCAGATCGCTAACCCCTGATTGGATCGCTAACCCCTGATTGGATCGCTAACCCCTGATCGGATCTCTAACCCCTGATCGGATCGCTAACCCCTGATCGGATCGCTAACCCCTGATCGGATCGCTAACCCCTGATTGGATCGCTAACCCCTGATCGGATCGCTAACCCCTGATCGGATCGCTAACCCCTGATCGGATCCCTAACCCCTGATTGGATCGCTAACCCCTGATCGGATCGCTAACCCCTGATTGGATCACTAACCCCTGATCGGATCCCTAACCCCTGATTGGATCGCTAACCCCTGATCGGAACGCTAACCCCTGATTGGATCGCTAACCCCTGATCGGATCACTAACCCCTGATCGGATCCCTAACCCCTGATCGGATCCCTAACCCCTGATCGGATCCCTAACCCCTGATCGGATCCCTAACCCCTGATTGGATCGCTAACCCCTGATCGGGTAACTAACCCCTGATTGGATCACTAACCCCTGATCGGATCACTAACCCCTGATCGGATCCCTAACCCCTGATCGGATCACTAACCCCTGATTGGATCACTAACCCCTGATTGTTCCATTGTGTTCACAACACATGTCATCTCAAGGCACTTTCCAGATCACCAGATCATCCAGTCAGATTGATTCAAAGTTTTCTATCTAAGGAAAACCAGTTGATTGCATCAACTCATTGACTCAAAGGCTATCCCTCACACTAAGCATGCTTGTAGCGACAGTGGGGAGGAAAAACTCTCTTTTAACACTTTTAACAGGAATAAACCTCCAGCAAAACCAGGCTCAGTGTGAGCGGCCATCTGATGAGGCCGACTGGGGTTCAAGGAGACAGAAGCAGACATAGAAAGAGAAGCAGAGACTGCTCCACAAGAGATGGGTTTTCATGCAAAACTCTGGAGAACATCACTGGATTCTAAAGCCCCGGTCACACCTTGACGATTTAGACCAGCGTATGCCTGCCGTATGGAAAATATGGGAAAGGGGCTGGTATATGTTGGATAAGTTATGGGTACATTTTGTGGTACAAACATTTTGTACCACAGTTTAACGACTCTGCTTTAGAGTTAGTGACGCAGTCAGAGGTCATTTCATTTGTTTGCTTTATGTCTGAAGTAGAATGATTGTGATGGGTGTAAGGAGGGACAGTCTGCTTCATGCATGGACTCATTCCATCTCTATGTCTGTTAGTTACTACGTGAATGGCAGGGACACTTCATTAGATGACTTTCTGGATCCTGAAGTTCTGGACACTCTGGCTGTGAAAACCAATGAAGTCCTAGAGGTAAGCTGATCAGATGGAGAGTGGAGTCGTTCAGGGCTCGGTGAAGTAATATGTTTAATTGTCTGCTCCTCCTGTGGCTCAGAAAGTGGAGCAGGAGTCTCCTGGGAAGGCGGTGTGGCTTGGAGAGACCAGCTCAGCCTATGGAGGAGGAGCGCTGGGACTGTCAGACACCTTCGTCTCAGGATTTATGTGAGTCACCAACAGTTATGGCGTTGTTTCCATTCAGCCATGATGCTGATCTGCATCAGTGTGATCCAGATTAAGTTGGATTTGGTCTGGCCTTCGACTAGGCTATTCTAACGCATTCATTCTATCTCTAGCTGGATGTTCAGGGTGTTTTTCTGCTGGAAGGTTTCTCCACACTAGGCCATTCACAAAATTAGGCCGAGTCGACTCACATCTGGACAACTTGAAAGCTGGTGAAGCAAGTTCACCAGAAAAGGAAATAACTTAAAATCATCATTCAATTGGTGGTAGAAGCAATATTCAAACGAGAACTTTGAACGCCGAAGTGGCAAAGGCTTCCATGTGAACAGCAGTTTAACATGGGTCAGTCGGTCTAAGGGATGGGCAAACGCCACGACTCGGGTTCAGATCCCCGAACCTGGAGTGGCAGAGATCGGCGCCGCGTTAGAAATGAGAGACTGCAGTTGTTTTTTCTTATTTTGAATGTAAATTGTCTTGTCCATTAGCAAAGTGTCTCACTGACCTCCTTAATTAATAAAAACTAAACAGATTTTTTATTTAAAATAAAATGACTTATTTAGATTTCCATATTTTGCACACTGGACAAATGTAAATCTAAATAAGTCATTTTTTCTTAAAATAAGTGTATTTTCTATTGAATTGAGGAGGTAAGTGAGACACTTTGTCAATGGAACAAGACCATTAAAAGAAGAAAAAAATTTATATTCTTTTTTTAAGTGCATATTATCTAGTTAGTACTCATTCCATTGGGAAATCGTCTTATTTACCTGCTCAAATTAAGGGTTAATACACTTAATTTAAGAAATATCAACTTATTTCTAGATCGTTTTTGCAGCACATGAAAACAACCCAACAAAACAGAAAAGTGTTGACCAGTTCAGCTAAAAGCGTTAGCAGAGAATGCTACAGGAAGCATCTGATGCTAAGCTTTCTGATGAATCATTGAAGCAGACTGCTGATGCTGCTCAGAATGCGGTCGGGTTGGTGTTGGATCAGATACAGCGATATGTGGATCTGTGTGCAGGTGGCTGGATAAACTGGGCCTGGGAGCCAGACTGGGCCTGGAGGTGGTGATGAGGCAGGTGTTGCTGGGCTCTGGGAGCTACCACCTGATCGATGACAACCTGGATCCTCTTCCTGTAAGACCGTTTCCTCAGAATCTGACCATTATTCTGCTTTTAATCTGCGTCTGTGATTGGTCCAAGCTCATCTCTCAACAAGGGACCAAAAACAACAACCAGAAAATGGCAGTAATGGAACATAGATCTATCTGTCTAGAGCTGCTCCATAAGAACACTCATGTGACCAAACCTCTAAAGGCCAAATGGGACAGAAAATCGGTCGGACAAGGTCGTGGCATTTAGCACTCATTGAAAGTCAATGGGGATTATTGGGGACCACACCCGTTGCGATTTCCTGCAGGGGGCAGCGTAGCTCAGATTGAGATAGACCCTAAGTCTACTTTAGTCGGACTACGCAGTAACTTCATGGGTCTTGCAAAAAAAACAAGCGCAGTTTATAAATCTCCTCCAAGAATAAAACAACTTCAGGAGGACAGAAAAAGGGATATAGTAAAATGTTGATCCTCTTTGAGCCTCTAAATAAAATATAACGAGGGGCAGACAGAGCAGGTAAGAGCAGCCTATCTCTCTCACCTCTTTATGAAAAAACGAAAAAGTTGAATAAACTTCCCAGATCTCTTTCTGAGGATCACCTCTCTGCCTCAGTCAGCATAGAAAACGTCCCACAGCGTTTATTGCTGTTTTTCTTTTCTTTAGATGTAGTTCTCTGTTAGGTTTATTCTTTAATACATCATGTGCATTGTTACTTTGTTAGCCAGACTAGAGAGAGTAGATGACCTTCCTTCACATTGTGGATGTCACTCTGTGTACGGAGGTCATCTAAATAGGACAGCCTTCTTGTCTTTTAAAGATACACAGGATATGGACACATCTTGGAGCCGGACTGATAAAAGGAAGCTATCTGTAATCCTGGGGCATAGAGGCAAAACGCATACAGGTCAGGGAATTGATGGCGTGTCAGTTTCTGATACGGACAACTAAGCATCCACCTGATCCAACACATAGACTCATGAGGTATAAGAAGCAGGAGATGACCTTGTTCGGGGCTCAATCTTTGCTGGACACTCACGGACGTGATTTTTTGAGCCCACAGCTGTGCAAGCTCCAAGCTTTTTCTCTGTCCTGTAACGACCTGATCTGGAATAAACTCTGTTACTTTTTTACTCCTGTTTTTATAGTCCTTTTTTCATGGTTTTACCCAGTTTGAGTCAAGAGTAGTAAGTAACTTGCTCCCAGGAAAAGAACCGGTGGGGAAGTCCCAAGGTGCAACTGCCTTCAAGGGGACATAACTTCCTCATTTAACATCTCACTATGTTTTTAATAAATGCATTCTCTATCTGCTCTAGTTAAAGATGCTGCACAGAGTCATTTAAATAAGTTTTCATAATCGAGTCAAATGTGGGAAATAGATTTAATGTGTATAGCACATAGACAGAAGTGAAAAAATCTGCACAGATCTGCTCACCCTGCGCAGTCGGAGCCTCTCTAAAGGCGGTCAGTGTGCCACGGGGAAAAAATGGGATTGGAGATTAAAAAGTCGCACCAGTCGGTGTGTTCAGGCCTTAACCTTCTACAGGGCCCAACTGACACCTGCTCATGTTTATTTATAGGAATGGCCAAAGCACGGTCACATGGTGTTTCATCCATACGCCTTTAAAATCAGGCTTTAACCTTTCTAAAACATGTTTTAAAATTATTTTATCACAAATGCCTTTTTTTGTAGCTGTGTAAACAAATAAAATGAGATTTAAAATTCCACCTGAAATGTCGGAGGTAATTGTGCGACCATTTCAGGTGATGTACCCGGTATGGGTTACATCAGGTTGCTCTTCTTATTTTCTATTCAGTTTGGTGATATTATTGGTAAATTTCAATGAAACAATGGCTAAATATTAGGAGCAAAAACTTTTTCTTATGCAGAAGGTCTCCAATCATATAAATCAGCATATTTGTCTGACCAGATTCCCTTTGTGAGAGGAAAAAAATGCATTTTTGCACTTTTGGTATTATGCTAAAATCCCATTTCTACCTAGCACACTGCTCACTAAAACCTTTGTGGAACAAACATGCTCCAACTTATTCAGTCCAAATTTGCATGACTTATAGTCAAGATGTGGCTCTATAGAGTCTGAGGGTTCCAGACTTTCAAATTTTATTTTATTTTTATTTAACCTTTATTTTACCAGGAAGTCCCTTGAGATAAAATCTCTTTTTCGAGATTGGGCTTTCATGATTATTTTCAGTGTTTAGCTTGGAAGAAAATTTGGCGAGACTGAATATTTTTAATATTTTCTTTGTTTAATCACCTATAAATCAGACATGGTGACATTTAAAATAGTGATTTCACTTGAAAAATATTCCTCAGTACCGTTCTATCACACAAACACATACAATTGTATTTCCAATTTATCGTTCGGGAGCTGTACTTGCTTTAATTCACATATGTAATTTCAGTTGGAATTTGCTGCTAAGACGCTCAGGGCTTATCAGTCCAGATCTTTAGGGAACTTTCAGACTGTAGATGATGTTTTATCATTTCTATAGAAGCTGGAAAAGGCTCCTTGTGTTTGTTAGTTGCATTAAAATCCTCTAAATACCAAGAGAAGGTCCGTTAGAATGGATGTGATTTGTTCTGGCCGTGTTCTTAAGCATGGCTCTCCTTCCAGGATTACTGGCTGTCGCTTCTCTACAAGAAGCTCGTTGGACCAGAAGTTTTGAACGTTTCTGATTCTGGCAGAAATAAAAGAGTCAGGCTTTATCTGCACTGTGCCAACAGGAAGAGGTAATTACAGAAACATGGGTTCAAACAAAAACTAATCAGAGTGTTTGGCAGAGAACCTGTCCCAAACCTCTCCCTGTTTGTGTGTCTGCAGTTACGCCAGAGGCGCCGTGGTTCTGCTGTGGATGAACCTTGGTAGGAAGCTAGCGCGGATCTCCCTTCCTGACCTGATCGCCAACAGCACAGTGGACACTTTTGTTCTCCAGTCAGACCAGCTGGGGGAGGAAGGACTGGAGTCCAGGTGCCTCTTCACTCAATGCTGCCTTTATTTTCTAAGTTAGGGACATGGAGTCACGGGGAAGATCTGATTTATTTGGACTTGGTGCCTCTGGGCATGTGCATCTAGTTTGACTTCTCTGATTCACAGGAAACTCCCTGAAGTTATTCAAGATAAACCCTCCTATGAAGAATGAATCAAATCTGCGGCTTTAAGCAGCAAAACATCCATTTCCTGCTTTATTTTCTCTGTCCAGCTTCTACACTAGTGTCAGGGAGGGGCGGATTTAGGAAATTCGGGGCCCTAGGCAAAGACAGGCAGTGGGCCCTCTGAACTGAGAAGGCAACAAATA